GTAGAAAGTGGATCCTGGAGGAGGAGATGTGGCCGTGAGTTCGGGACCACCTTGACTGGGAGAGGGCTCACTCGGCCCGCCTGTGGAAGGAGAAATGCCGGTGTTCTTGGCAATGGCGCTGGCCGAAGTCAGCGTAGGAGTGGCCGAAACAGGAGTGCCTGTGTAGCCAGCAGACGGCTCTGAGAGGGATTGGGTTGTCTGTTCCGAGACAGTGGGGGTGGTTGACGGCCGGCCGGTCCTGGAATGGGACGTGGTCTTTCCGTCATCGCTGGAAGAAGACGAGGCGAGGGAAACCGTCGGTGTGGGCGAATCTGAAACGTTTGAGTAGAGGGTCGTCTCTTTTGTGAAGAGCGACTGTGTTTCTCCAACCCCCTGAGTGGTGGTCGATGCCTCGGGGCCAGAAGGCGATGAAGGACCTGTCTTATCAGCAGAATAGAAGGTGGTGGACGACACTGTGGAACTCCAGTCTGCGGAGCGTGCTGTGGAGACAAGAGATCGCCCGGGAGTGGGTGTCACTGATGGTCCATAACTATTCAAATTTTTAGAGGAAGCTCTGCTATATGATGTGTTCTCAGTACTTCCACTGTTTGTAGTCAAGCTTCTCCCTGCATTTGTTAGTTAGAAGAATCAGAGATGATGCTGTAGTTTCTTAATTTTTCATTATATTTATTGGCAATCCTTGCCAGCCTGCCTGGCATTACTGGTCAGTGCATGACACTTCAGCCCTGTTTTCCTTTCAGGACTATAGGAAGTGCCAGGGAAACCTCTATATTTGGACATTTCCAATGGTGATCTATACCTTTGACTCTTTTGTGCAATAGCATAGTTTTTCTAGAGAGCAATGTGTCACTTATTAATGGTCTGGCAGTTGTTTGTGAGTTACTTCTTGTATTGTTATTCATATGGCGGTAGATTTAGACAAATCTCTATGCTTCTTTAGAAATATATCTCACCCAGAGTTAACCATATTCCTCAGCCTCCCTGCTTTCCTGTGCCCACAGGGAAACCAGTTCTCGGCTCTGCAGCCCACATATCCAGGCCTTCATTCCACAAGAAGTTACTTGCTACCTCCGGGAACACAGACCCTGGGTTTGAAGACAAATGAGCCCCCACCCCTCGCTGGTGCTCCTTGCCCCCCATGCAATGCGAGGGTAGTTGAGGCCCATTTCAAGGGAGAGTGGGAATCAACTTGGGGGTGGTGGGAGGGAACTGCTTCTCTGCCTTTCTTGGAAGGCTTCAAAAAGAAAGTAATGTCCAGGGCAAGCCCCAGTGGCCTAGTGGTTAAGTTTGGCATGCTCCACTTTGGTGGCCTGAGACCTGTTCCCAGGCACAGACCTTCACCACTCATCTGTCAGTAGCCATGCTGTGGTGGTGGCTCACATACAAAAAGAGGAAGATGGGCAGCGGATGTTCGCTCAAGGCGAATCTTCCTCACCAAAAAATTTTAAAAAAAGAAAGTAATGTCTAGCTCTTTTTTTCCCTTCTTCTTTAAGAAGGAGTTTTGTAGATTGGGGCATTATAAATTTTACGGGACTTTTTAAGTTATAGAAGTAGACTGTGTTTGTTTTGGCAAGTCAATCACTGAGAAGCATATACAGGCAGTCTATAATCGTGTCCCTAACTGAATCACCATGAATGATAGGGGTGGGGAGAGGCAGTGTTTACTACTGTCTCTCAGACTCCTGTACCAGCCCTGTCACAGCTGTACTCTGTGACACTGTATGTAATCACCCACGGACTGCCTGTGCTCGTCTCTGAGTCTCCGTGAGTGTAGACAACATTTCTGGAGGAAGTGAGTGAGTGAACGCTGGAAAGTGTACCAGACATTTTCTCTCAGCTATTTAATGCAATCCTGTGAAGTAGATGTTCATATTTCTGTTTTACACATGAACTGAGGTTCTGAGGGTTAAACACTTTCCCAGTTCACCCAGCTGGTAAGATAGAATTCAAGCACAATCTAAGGGTGGCTTTTACTTTTAGCACAAGAAAAGGGTTTGGAGAGTAGAGACGAGGAAGGAGAAGTGTTCAAGCCAAGGGAATGACATGTGTAGAAGCCCAGGAGTACGTGTCTGGGGCGGAGCAGGACACTGAGAGACGAGTGGGGGCAGACGGAAGGCTGGTAACGTGGGTGTGAAGCCAGCTCTGGACTTCACTGAGCAGCAGGGAAGAATGTCCAGCAAAAGGCCATGGTCCCAACTGCTCCTTAGAAGCAGAGCCCTGGTGTGAGGGGACAGCGGGGCAGATGCAGGAGATTGAGGAGGCCACAGCAGAGACATGGTGGGCCACCGGGGGCCACCATGAAGGCCAGGACTGTTGGAATGGACTGTAGACATCCTGCTCTCTTTTGTCTTTATTCCTGAATCCACACCATTTACCGCATTTCATCATCATGCACTATGTCCTTAAATGTCCACATCTCTCCTCCAGCTGCCTCTCAGAGCACATCAACGAGCTCAGGCGCCTGAATCCCTGTCCGCCCCACCAGGCTGCCCTTCCTCCTTCTGGAATCTCTCATCTCCTTCTGGTCCCAAGACACCATCGCCTCCTAATTATCCTTCTCCTCGCTCCTGCTGTTCTTCCCTGCTCACCAAGTGGAAGCCCCAAGCTAAAGGCTCTGCCGCACCCCCACCCTCCCAGCAGGCAATGGCCTCCGGACCTCACTCACTCCCGGAAGGGACAAGAAAACAGTGCCCTGAACAGTGCCCTGGGAAGAGCTTCGGACCCCTCCCAGCCCAGGATTCCAGTGGCAACAGCATCCTTAAAGGATATGGCAGAGCAGGTGAGGCTGTCTTTCCTAGAGTCAACCTTCTGGGTCAAGGATGCTGCACTAGAAAGCTGAGCAAAGGAAAAAGCACAGACATTCTCCAAGGAAAGAAACTCAAATTGTCAACAAGCCTACAAGAATGAAAAAGCAAACTTCACTGGTAAGCAAAGAAATTCAAAACAAAGCCTATTTATTTTTA